ACTCTGGATCGCCTGCTGGAACACACAGACATATTAGCTAGGTCTGGTTATCAGATTAATTCGAATAATAGTCTATAGGGCAACATCAACTAAAAATCTTTGGTTCCCCAAGAAGCCAGAAGTCTGGTTAATCATTAGGCACCTGGACAAAATGCTTACAAATCTATATATTTTGTTCAAGTTATTGCTCAAGTGAATCCCAGATGCATACATACCACAGCAGTGATACCTTTCAATTAACTTCTTCCGTATCTCCTGTAGCGGTCATCCATTCCCATTAGTATCAATATATATGATATCGAAAGAAGTTAAGATATGGGGAGTGCACCACCTCAAGAGTCAATCATCCGAATCGTCAACAAGAGGGCACTCCTCCCACCCATAAACATCTTGCTTAAGATATTCATCATTAATCCATGAATGGAATTATTTTATCCAATCTGTGTATTTCATCTTATTATTCTTGCTAAGAAATCAAGCAATATTTACTCCATTCACAACGCAGACCACTTTACTAGTCTGTCTGCCGTTAGTATCTGGTCAAACCGTGGACTTTGGTACTTGGCAGCTTAGAATATCAAAGAACACTAGAACACTTCAATCTAAAGATGTCCAATAATCAACTGATCCAGGTTTGTCAATATTTTACGTGAATAATGAACCAATTGATAATTATCTGGTGAACAACACATTCCGTGATGAATGTCTTGACAAGATACATTATCTTAGGATCCTTGCGAATACAAAGGTCACTTAATTACGGATGATATTTGCAGACAGAGTCATCGTAAAGTCATTCTTAGATGCTAGTTCCCAGGAAAGGTCTGCCAAGTTAACACACTGTGCATGTGTGCTTTTGTTATAGAATTTCCAGGGGAAGCAAGGGTTTATTTTAGCCCTGAAACCATGTGCTATCCGATATGGGCACCATCTTACTGTCATCTACTGAGCAAATCAAGCGTGCTTGATCTATCGATTGCTACATAGTAAAGAAAAATTAATGGGTCATCATCATCGTGTATGTAGTACATAATTGCTGGTATATTTCAATGTGGGAAGTTCATATGTATGTAACGAATGTCTATCAGTTCATCTGGATATTGAAAACACCATTCTTTTCAATCTTACCAAATATATCCTGCATCTTTTGGATCTCTTTATCCTGTTCCTCTTCAGAAAGGTCTTCAAACCTTGGTCTCGTTTCTCCACTTGGTTGGCTGTGAGCCTTGTGTTGATACTCTGTACTATTTTCCAAAATTTGCGTCAAATCCATGGAACTATGTAGCTTGTGTTCCAAGTCAGCCAACACAACCGGTAGATGTGGATCATTGTGGATTGAACGGAAGGCATCAAAGTTCAGGTTGTCCTTTATGTACTTCTCCAATCCACTTTCTCCATTATCAATTTGTAGCAGTAATTCCAACGTAAGTAAGTATCGTACCAAAGACGTTGAAATTGGCTTAGAGAGTATTTTGTTTAACAGCTTCACCTGGTTTCGTACAAACAAAGCCTTATTTAGCATGTAGTTTTCTGAAATGTCTGTGGAAATTGCAACAAGAACGTTACCAAAATGCTCCAGTATCTGGTCGTAATCGTTGGATGTGTCTGTCAGCTTGGCATACAGCAGATTGAACTTATTACAACTCAACACATAGTAAGAATCAATACCGGTGGTATCCTCTAGCTGATGAACGTCTGAGTATAATATCTTCAGGATTTCCATTATGATGTTATTGAGTGAGCTGGAATCCTGTGATGAAAGCGTCACAAAATTGAGTAGTTTCCCACTAATCTTCAAGACTGATTGCTGTAGTGCCGGTAAGATCACTTTGTTCTGTGTTAAGAAGAAGTATAGTCTGAAAATTGGTAGGAAGTTTTGGTACTGTAACTCTGAGTTGAATCTACGTTCACTGACAAGATCGAGCATTGCGTACAGCTTTGGGATCGTCCTCAAAAGGCCACTTGGGGATGGGTCATTTCTTAGGTTCGCATTCATGAAGAGTATATTCGCTAAAGTCGCAACGAGGTCCAGCTCGACGACCCGGTCTTCCGATTTCAACAAGAGTGCAACGATCCGTTCAAGTGGTTCCTTATCAAAGTTCGACAGCCACTGTGGATTGCGAGCTAACAGCCTCAGCTGCTTAGACTTTGTGCTCAGATCAACTATCGAACCAGCCTGTTCCACTTCTGCTATAGCCGAGTATCTATCCGTCATTGTTGAACACAAGAGCTGCTAAACGATGGTGTGCCCTCCACTGACTTCAAATGTGGTGGTGCTGAACTTCAGTTGCACTTCCAACTCTCTCCCTCTCTTGCACGTTCTATATCTCGCGCCCTCTCCAGTGCGGTTGCACGCCGTTATCACAATCGCCTTGAAACAACAGAACCAGAGCCAAAAAGGAAGCACAAGCAAGACAGCTTATATATAACCGAAGTCAAAAAAGAAATCACCAACCTTTGTTTTCGAAGTGCCGAATTGTAACTGTAAGATTTCGTTGTTTTGGTTTTCCAGCTCCTATTCGCTGCTGGGAGCAGATGTATCAGTCAAACCACACACAAAAAACAGAGCAGAAACACACTAGCAAAGATCAAATGTGCAATATGGCCGTCTGTACAAGCTGGCTGAGACGAAATTACCGCTTGAAGAAAGTAACGGGCAGTATGACGAGGTTGGTCAAATCGTCACGGTTATAAAGCAAAGGGAAAACGGAAGAGAAGGCTAAAATTTTCCTACCTCTTCCTAAAATCCAACGGCCTGCTTGTTTGCCTGGACTTCAATGAGCAAGCGTACTCTAAATTCCTCCGATTTCATTCTAGATGTTTGATGCATAGTTGTTCTAGGCCCTTATTTTTTGTTCCCTTTGTGAGTGTACGCTTGCGTGCTGGCTGCACACACTGCGCACACACAAAGCTTGAACTCTGTTGGTTGCCCAATTCGTTCTGTGCAGTGTGCAAATCCCCATCCCCCGCCTACGGGTTGGCGTGGCCAGAGAGACGGGCCCAGGCTTTGATTTCGGTGGCGGCCGCCTAGATCTCTCATCCAAGAGCATTACGATTGTACGCTGGGGTAGGGGAATAAGCGTGATACGCTTTTAGCCGGGCTTGGCTATTCGACGTCCCGGCCTAGTTGGAGAGCCTGGACATAACTGTAAAGTCCCCATAGGGTTTAGGTGTGTATAGCTTGTACTGATATGGGGAGAGGGGTTGCAGTTAGTCTTGTACTGATATGGCAAAAGTGTAGATAATCCTGTACTGGAGACGTCAACACGTTCGGCTATCGAAGCCTCGATCTAGAATGCAGCCCCCGAGAGCTGTTCCACCACACGGGTATCATGTACTGCGTTTTAGAGATCAAACCAAGTTGATCGATTAGGACGGGAATCACTAAGAGTGGAGAACACAGTAGGCGAGTGTGGTTTCTACGGCACATTGGAATCGTTCTGCTTGTGATTGTTGACATGGTCAATGGTGGGGGTCTGTCCATGATGGGGAGTCTGTCCATGACACATAGGCACTCTCTCAGTTGGAGGTGCTCGTGAGCGTACACAGCTCGCAAGTTGTATGGCCTCTGATTTCTGAAGAGCAGGGACAAGGCTCTCTGAATCTTGGGTAGAACGGGTCGTGTTTGCAAAGTCGAAGCAGCTTCCACCACCATTCACGATAAATCGGGCTATTTGTTTACACTGGGAGGTGTATCAGTCGACACCAACAATGTCGTGCTCCTCATTATGCACGATGCTCACAGTTTATGAAAGACCAATCTAGATGCATCTAGCCACTTCTCTTTTATATAATGTTCCGGTGTTGTATGTATATAGACGTTGTGCTGGAAAGTTACGATGTACGTTAGAAGACTGTGTGCAGTATCCGGTGCCGGTCTATGCTGAGATGTTTTGGACAGGTGGGATTCCGTAGCGCTGAAACATATGCTTAGGTGTTGGCTACAGCTTACGGTTTGGCTACAGCTCCCAGTTATCGCGCATGGTGTGGTTACGGGCCCCGCGATCCACTCATGAAGCACCTCCCCGCTTGCTCCATCCCACCCAGCTTGACCAATGTACTTTTCTAGTCATGATCTTCCAAAATGCTCGATCAACAACAGGTTTCCTTCAATTCAAACGAGAATTCATCACGGATTCATCACCGAGTATCAAGAGCTTGACGCCTTCCACGCTTTTCCACGTCCTGTGTGTCCCCTACCACCTCTACCTGATTACATAATATCCCGCGAATCCTGGGAACGAGCAAAATCAACCAATTGGGCTTTGTCCAAGGGGCTAAAGAAAAAAAACTTGAAGGAGTAACCACAGAACAAAACCATCAACAAGAGGCACAGTCAAGCTCTACCTGTACAGAATGCTTAGAAGATTTGTCAGTGTACCAAGAACCCTCCCTCTGCGTGCTACCAACGTTGCCGCTGTCAGAAGCCACCACATTGTGGGTGTCCATAGAGACACTAAAGTGAACAACCAGAAGACTCCATTTACCTTTAGTGATGAAAACAAGAAGGAGATTGAGAAGATACTCGCAAAGTATCCGCCACAGTACAAGAAGGGTGCCATCATGCCTTTGCTTGACTTGGGCCAACACCAACACGGGTTCTGCTCCATCGGTGTGATGAACGAAGTTGCTAAGATCTGTGAGGTTCCGCCAATGCGTGTTTACGAAGTTGCATCTTTCTACACAATGTTCCAAAGAGAGCCAATCGGCAAGTGCCACGTTGGTGTCTGTACTAACATTGCTTGTATGTTGCACGGTGCCGAGGATGTTTTTGCCGCTGCGAAGGACTTTGTGAAGAACAACAACGCTGATGGTTACTACTCCTTGGAGGAGGTTGAATGCTCTGGTGCTTGCACCAACGCTCCTGTCGCTGAAGTCAACAACATCTATTTCGAAGACTTGACCAGCGAAGGCATAGTGCAGGTGTTGAAAGATTTCAAACAGGGCAAGGCCGTTCCAGGTCCGTACGCCGGGAAGAGAAAGTCTTGTGAACCTGAAGGTGAGAAGACATCTCTGTTTGGAGAGAAGGCATTCGACGTGAGAACAGTCACTAGAACAGACATCTGAACCTATCGTCATCCGTGCAGTGTCCATTTGTATATCTCTTATTCTATTTATTCTTTATTTATTTCATTGAAGTCACATATTTATTTGCAAAGGGTTGTTCATGAAATATCATTCCCAATAAACGATCAATTCCTCGTACACTAACGACCGAATTTCTTCAACTCTATATACCTTAGGAGTGGATAAGTAACTCCACAGAATCCCATACTCAGCCACATACCGAGATCACCTCCATATTCTCCAAACTGTGCAGCGATAGGACCAACGTAATAAACTTGGGCCATTCCCAACACTGCACCGGCAATTCCACAACAAAAGGCGAACCCGCCAGCAAATCCATGAGAAAGAATACTTGGATCGTTCCATGCGTCCCAGTTGTACAGCTGTCTCTTTGCTTTCTTGTGGGATGGTGTGAGTTCATCAACTTTGTCATCTTGACCTGGAGGAAACTCTTTGGTGTAAAGATGGTGGAAATGCTCTCTGAATATCACATTCTCCTCGAGCAGTAAGAAGAAGTACATTGAGATCCAGTAACCAATCATAGGAAGGAAGTTCCCCAAGAAATCACTGAAGTGATAACGACCTGCAATGGAACAGCAAAAGTAAATCGCCGTGATGACGAGAACCCAGATCCATCTTGGGATCTTTGCAAAGAAACGTCCAAGTAGTTGGAATGCAAAAGCAGATGAATAGGTGTTACATATATTATTCGACACAAGAGAGAACAGCATAATAACGACACAGAATTTGCCAAATCCTCCCCAGCGTGAAAACGCCTGTTCGAGTAAACCACCAGTACCGTACAACGCATATGCCGTTGAGTAATCCTCATCCACCATTGCCAAAGTGGACAAGATCAAGCCAAAGACTGCGACAAAAGTCGATGGAATACCGATTCCTAGGAACGTGAGGATAAACGTCTGGTAACCAGGTGTATTCTCTGGGAATTGGATATAGTAATCAGAACACACAGTACCCCAAGTTGCAGTGACGGAATATGTCAGTGAGAAGAACGAAAGCCAATTTCCCTTGTACGTAGTTGCATCAAGGTCGTTATGATACGTGGCCAGCAAGTGGTACTTATCAGATGCACAGATGTAGATAAGCACAAATGTTATGAACACTGGGACGGCCAGGTACTTCTCAAATCTGAGCACCAACTTGATACCAAACAACGCCACCACCAACGTCACTGCTGCGACGATTAATATGCCAACCCACAATGGGACTCTGCTGTCACTGATGGCAGTCAGTATCTGGCCACCAAGAACACAGTTCACGATACTCCAACCGGTACCACCAAGGCACCCTATCAGTGACACAAACTTGACAAACCACCAGCCAAAGAGGTAACGAGCTGTAACCATCTGTCTACAACCACTTCTTGATCCCATTGTTGAGCAGTATGCAGCGATGGCACACCCGAGAAACTGGCCTATAATACCGCAGATACATGCTTGTCTGAAGGACAAGTTGTAGACTGTAGATGCAAGCACAAAACTCGAAAGAGTTGTTAACCCACCTGCTGCAGACAGCCAGAACCCGATTGCCGAGATGAACTGCTCTCTCTTTGTTCCACGCTCATGGGGTTGTATACGGTGGATACCTCTTTGTTCCACACCCATGGACTCGAGGAATGCGGAGATCTTCGTCAAGAAGGCCCATGGTGTTCTCAGGTCCTGTTTGGAGTACGAGTCCGATGTCAAGTCTTCTTCAACGTTGAACGATTTTCTCTCCTTCAACGAAAATGTCGACATCTTTGAAACGACGATTGGCCTATCTATACAAAGCGTGCGTGCTGTCCTGCTCTTCTACACACACTCCTCACCGCTTTAAGTACCTGCTCAACCACAGAGCAAAGGTGAAAAGGAATGAAAACTCATATAGCCATTTCGTCGTGTCAGCTGATCAGATGGACCAACCTCTAAGGGCATAATACACCACCCAATGTCATCTCGAAAGAGAAAAAAACGTCCTCACTTCATCAGTCCCGTCAAACGCAATGCGACGTACTGTTGCTTGCAAAACTTGTAAGAGCATCAACTGTGTCGGAGTTATAGTTTGACAACCGCTAAAACGCATGAGCGGTATTTCTGTTCCTGGTTCGAACCTCGCCGGCGACATCGTCAGTCGCCGCTGCAAATCAGCCATTTTCTCCGCGCTCGCGTCGACACCAAACGTTCCTAACGCGGTAAAATTTGCTCATCGACTAATGCGCTATTACACACAAGATTTTTCTATGGGCCTCACAGCGCTGTGAAACATAGAAAAAAAACACATAGGGTATGAGAAGATAAATACAAGGGAACAATCGACCCCGTTACAGCCTGTTGAGGTGGAGTGGAGCAGGACAAGAGTTTTTATTTACTTCCATTTTGTTCACGGTCGGGCCATCTTGAGATAAGGTATAAGTTCACTGTTGTGTAATGATTCTCGTTGATGGGGAAAAGTACGCATGTGTGCAGTGTATTCGTGGGCATCGGTCTTCAACCTGTAAGCACACGTTAAGACCCTTGGTACAAGTGCGCAGTCGAGGACGGCCTTCGCTTAATGCGGGGCACCGTATTGCTGTGACGGAGAGCGAGCTGGTGGTGACGAAGGACCAGGTGATTTTGCAGGCGGACCTGGATGCCGCCAAAGAGGACGGTGTCCAGCCAGCAGAGAAGAAGCCGGTATCGAGTTGTTGTGCGAAGAAGAAACAAGCAGCGGTGAAGGAGGTACCCAAGAGCTGTTCGTGCAAAAACAAGTCGTCGTCGTGTAGTTGTAACGGTGATAGTGTCATTATACTCAAAGCGTCGAAGAGACAATATGTTGATGTTAACGACGGGAAGCTGGACTTTGTGGGTGATTGCCACAACGACCAAGCAATGAAGAAGTTTCGGGTTGGCCTGGGGAGGGCCTCAAGCATCAGGCACACCCCTGGAGCAGCGTGCCAGAGTATGATGATGCACTCTGCTCTGCAACCGTTGAAGACACTGAAGGTGAAAGCACCCGCACTGAACAACAACTTTGTGTATATAGAGCCGAGACCGCTTCCAAATGACTCAATAGTTCCACTGCTACCCAACACTGCTTTATCTTACCCGCAACAACAGCGACCACCACTTCAACCGCAACAACAACATCTCCCTGTTGCATTACCCATCATTGATGAACGGTTCTACGACATGTTCAGGAGTGAAGGCTGTGCGAGTGAGTGCCACTGTGGGCCTGAATGCTCATGTCCTGGATGCCTGATACATAGAACCAACGAAGAGCTGGAAGCGTACGGACTCCTGGACCCGTCGAGCACCGCATCAACTCCAAGCACAAAGCAAGACTTACCAGACACAGCCAACACAGACATACCTGCAAGTCTTATCAATTTCCAAACAATGACTGAGCTCGATTTCGAAGGACTCTTGGAAGCTTCGTGCATATGCTCAGATGACTGTTCCTGTTACAACTGTGTAAAGCATGGAATAATCAACGGAGTGAGGCAAAGTGAGCAAGGCCTAGCGTCTACGAATGCTTCTCCCGTGGAATCGGCATCTATAGAGCCGGCGCCCATATTACCGTCACAGGCCTCTATTGATGCGTTCTACAACGCTATAGAGGCACACGACTGTGGCTGTGCACCCGATGAGTGCGAATGCTTCAACTGCTTGAAGCATGGAAGAGTCAATGGCGTCAAGATTAGTTAATGAGTTATGTCCTCGTGTATATATATAAGGAGCTTTGTAAGGCGGTCTTTATCACCAAATGCTTGATTGTGGCAGTAAATGTATTGAAAAACGTAAACAAACCCGCCGCCGCCGCCACCGAGAAACTTCACCTTTGACAAAATACTCTCAATCATCTTCAGAGAAGCCCATCAAATCCAAGATGGCTGAACAGGAGTTGTCTCTTATAAACAAAGTGGAGCTTCGTATTGCATTGGCAGATTCGGATTCCAAGTTCCAAGGGGCGTTAGACTTGTATCTTTGCCCGTTGCTGTTGAAACTAGGCTCTACACACTCATCTTCGAGATCGGCCGTGTTGAATTTCATAAAGGACTTGATTTCCAGGCTCAATGGTGCTCCTGCTGTCCAGCTACCGGTGTTGAAACTTATAGAACAGTCTAAGAAGCCCAGCTTGCCCGCTGGCTCATCTGTTGCTTCTACTCAGCTGTATTCGCTTCTTTTGGCAGCCAAGGGTCTTGATCGATTGGATGATAAGCAGTCGTTGATAAAGCCCCTGTTGGAGGGTATCGAAGCATTTGAAGGGCCGGTGTGTTCCAGGTTGTTCAATTTGTTCATTAGATCCCTTGCTGGGTGGAAAACCCCTGATCGTGGTACCGATGAGTTCAAAGCACTACAGTCGTCCTTGAACTTGCCTGTATCAACAGTCAGGTTCATTACCTCCAAACTGGAGCAGCTTTTCCTGCTCGTTCCAAGCTATAACGATAAGGGCATCATTCCAAAGGGAACCACATGTCCTGGCCTCAGTGCAGATGAAGTGTCTTTCCTCACTTATGACTGTGGTTATTTCCCCAAACCAGCAGAGCTATCATCTGTGAAGAAAGATGTCACATCATTCATCTCGCTATTGCAGGATAGAGACATTTTCTTGCTTCTTCTCATCGGTGCAGAAGACTCTAATGATCATGTCGCCAACTCTTCGGCTGCTCTGCTACGGAAAATTACCATTCCATTTGAAGATGAAGCGTCCATAGAGCATATGATATCTCTATATGTTGGCGATAAGTCGATCCCTAGACCTCCTGTGAAGCCCAAACTCCAGGAACGGTTTCTCACTGTGCTGAATGGGTCTGTCATTGCTACAAAACATAAAGCAGTTCCTATCATCTCAAGTATTGGTCTCAACGCTACAAGATATCCTAGACTGAAATCGGCAACTATTTCTTTTATTCAATGGGCTGCAAAGAATGGCGACCAAGGAGTAAATGGAAGCTCTGAATATCTAGTTAACGTTGCAGCTCAACTGAAGAACAACTTACAGGCAGAGGGGTGGCCAAGATTTGAAGTTCAACAAGGAGCGTCTTTCTCTGCAGAGTTGAAACAGAGAAGAATTCAATATGAAGCACTGGGTGATTTATTGAAAAAAGACCCCTCGCTCATTGAGGACATGACGTATATAACATTCCTCTTTGATTCCCTTATTGGAGACATCGCCGATGTTAGATCCACTATACAAGATGCTCTTGGTGGGTTGGTAGTTCATCTGAAGGGCTTACCGGTTGGATCGAAAGCCAGGTTAAAATATTTGATGAAGCTGTATCTTGAGTCAGGAGTTTGTTTTATTGACCATCCAGATTCTACAGAATCGGTGAGATACACAGCTTTAAAATTCATCAATTCTGCTTTCCCATTCGAAGATGCTGAAGCTAGAATGCTAAACGTTTTGGGATCATCTTCTATCAACGGTTCATCAGTTATAGAAGAAGCACAGAGAGGTCTTCATCCATACTGGTTCAATATCACCCATTCTTCCGCAACTACAGAGTTCAAATCTACTGATGAGCTTCTCGGAGTTGGCAACGTTTTGACAATGCCATCTTTCGACTCATTCGTTATCAACTTTACTGAAGCAATAACACAAGCCAAGAATGATCCAGATTCCACACTCAAGGGTTCTATGGTACATGGTGCTAAGTTTGCACTATATATGCTTGTTGAAGAGGCTATTGCAGGAAAGCCAACTGTGGTGGTCAAAGACCAAGAATGGATAACAAGATTAGAAAATGCCCTGAACTCTGACTTTGTCGTTATGAATCTAGTGAAATACAACCTCAAGAGTTCAAACCCCTTAACTTCCTTTTTACAGATTCTTGCTGACAACATAACACGCGTTGATAGTGGCTTTTTGTTAGCAGATAAGGGAGAAGAGGTTTTTGCAAAGATTTTCCTCGAGATTATCTCTTTGTCTCCTAATGAAGTTATCCAAACCATTCTTCCTGTCGTACCGAATCTTGTTTCGGTAATCCAGAATTCCAAAGTTGTGAATTATAATTTAATTATGTCCTGTGCCAATGCTATCGGAGTTATTGGCAGTCATCCTCAAGTTACAAATCAAGATGTTATCGTTTTGTTTGAAACGTTGTTGGAAGGATTGAAATCTGAATTGAAGCAAAAGAGGGATTATCTACTGGCTTTGTCGTTCCTGACATCTCGCGTCGTGTACCGTCGTCGTGATACCATCTCGACCAGTCAATTGAAGCAAGTTTGGGAATGCGTTTTGGAGGCTTTTGAAAACAGTTTTGGAGACTCAGGTATTATTGGGCTGACCCAACTCGCTATGTATGGAGCTCTCGGTCCTAACGTTCAGTTAGATAATATGGATGAGGTGAGAAACACCATTGTTGAGGAATTGAAGAAAAAGGTCAATAAATTGGATGAAAGATCAATCATTGCGACTGCCTGTGTATCTCTGAGTTTGGAAGAATCTGAATCTACTGAACTTACGGATCTTGAAACTACCATATATGAGACAAGCTCTACCAAGCAAGTGGAATCTTTATTTACATCAGGTGAAGCACTATCTATTATGGCTGCTGGTTGGGATTCAAGATTTCTGCAACAGAAGCTGGACATTCAAGACTCCTCACTTGCTCCATTGACATCAAAGAGAAGTTTCAGACTAAACGTGATTTTGAACAAAGTTCTCGAGACATGTACGAGTACTAAGCCAAGCTTGAGAAGGGCAGGGTGTATCTGGTTATTATCCCTTGTTCAATACTGTGGTCATCTACTTCAGATCAAAGAAATGGCTGGTGTTATACATATCTCATTTATGAGATATCTGGCTGACAAAGATGAGTTTATTCAAGACTCCGCTTCGAGAGGTTTAAGTATGATTTATGAACTAGGTGACTCTGACCTTAAAGAAACACTGGTGAAAAATCTACTAAAATCTTTCACGGATTCAACATCAGCAAGTAAGCTTTCTGCTGGGTCGGTATCTACTGACACGGAGCTTTTCGAACCTGGTATCCTTAAAACAAATGACGGTTCTGTTTCAACGTATAAGGACATTTTGAATTTGGCTTCTGAAGTAGGTGATCCAAGTTTGGTATATAAGTTCATGTCTATGGCAAAGAGTTCTGCACTATGGTCATCCAGAAAAGGTATCGCATTTGGGTTGGGATCAATCATGTCAAAAGCCAGTATTGACCAGATGATTTTCGAGAACCCTTCTTTATCAAACAGATTGATTCCAAAGCTTTACAGGTATCGTTTTGATCCAAGTATGTCCGTTTCCAAGGCTATGAATGATATTTGGGCTACCCTTGTACCGAATACTAGCAAGACTGTTGAAAGGTATCAGGATGTTATCTTGAATGAACTGTTGAACAGCATGGGGAATAAGGAATGGAG